CATTATGCGCCGTATGCTCGACCATGTTGCTTGCAATAAACGTCTGCAGGGAAAATTCGTTTAGTTTTTTGGTAGCTCGTAATGGACGTCAAAGAGGCAAAGTAAGGATTTTCATTTTGGCGCTGGTCCCTCATTTTCTGATATCTTCTGTCTTTTCCGTTCTCTGTTGACATGCGAAACAGAATTTACATTGCCTGTAATAATGCAATGAAAAATTGAAAAGTTGGTGCTTCTAGCTAAAAAGATGGCAGAATACCGTGTTCTGCTCGCAAGGAAAAGTTCATTAGGAATACAATTCCATTTCTGGAAGTTTTTTTTTTGCCCCCAATTAAACTCTGAAAATCTTTATATTGATTTATTTGTTCTTTTCTTGTTTTTTAACGGCTTAACAAAATTTTGCAAATCTTTGAAAGCTGGAAAATATTTTTAGATTGTAAAAGATTTTTGGGGTTAATGAAGATTTACTGATGCAAGCCCTACTAATTAACTCATAGCTTGGTAGGAGAAGCGATGGATTCAAACCTTTCCCAAGTGTATTTGTGCGTAAGTGACTATGACGAACTCGACTGGAATTCGAACTCCGCTGTCCAGTCCAGAGCCGTTATTCAATACACCAACGGTACATTCAAGTTTATAGCACCTGTATTTCTAACCGGTCACCTATCTAGATACTGGCCAAGTTCGACGTTGCTTAACTTCGGTGATCGATCTTTAAGTGTGATATGGCCGTAAGCCGGGTGGTAGTAAGAATATGGCATGACGAGGTAAGACTTTAGAAGGAAGATGGTAGAAATACACTATAAAAGACACCGTCTGACGCAGTTCTGTTCTATTCAGCCTTGCTTCGGTCTTGGATAATTCCAAATTTATAGCAGTAAAATTTCATTGCTTTTAATCGCGAAAGGGGAAAAAATTCACTAAAATGCAAGGGTCTCATGCAAATGACAAACAAAAAGACATTACATGGATCTGGAAACCTAATCCTCAACCCCCACCAAAAAAAACAAGGGATACACCTCTACTCCTGTTCAAAAGACCGTGGTGGAGTATCAACCGGATGATAGGCGAACCTATATAATCCTATTGATGAACGTCCTGGGTATGAGGATAAACTTACATCCATTAGGAAGGCTTCTGATCAGGAGGTTTTGAGGAGCGTGGAACCACCTCTTAAATGCTGGTGTTCAAAGTCCACCATGACCCTGGGTGGTAGCATCTGTTAGGGTCCTAGCTATAGTCAAATAGTCAAACTGGGTTTAAAACACTATGAAAATGTAAATACGTTTTAATACTAGAAATACTTTGTAAAAATAATCATTATCAGCAATACATTATTACCAGCAATACATTTTTGAAAACAGAAGATATTACTAGCTATACACTTCTGAAAAAAAATTACCTGCTTTACTTTTCTGAAAAAAATATTACCAGAAATAAAATTTTTTCGGCATTAAATAACCATTGAGATTGATATGCCGTAAACCAAATCAAACCTATTGATGAAAAAATAAAATAAAAAGTAAATAAAATTTCAGTGTTTAGGTAAAGATGTTAGATGTGCAGAGTGGATGTAGATTTTAGAAGGAACCGGAAACCCAATCCTAAACAGGAAACAAAGGATAAACATCTACTCCTTTTCAAAAGACCGTGGAGGAGAGTGAACCGAACGATAGGTGAACACATCTTCTATAAGTACTTTCTGAAAACAATCAAATAAAAACAAATTAACCCCGAAAACATTTAAATCAGTTTAGTTGCTACCATCATATGCATGTTTATCAAGTTTTTTGGTCTATTTTTCTGTTATAACAGATAGAACAGATAACTGAAATTTCAATAAACAATACCAGATTATTCCTTAGCACAAAGCCTGGATCAAAATGAACGTTTAATAACGCAATTAATTTGACGTCACTTCTTTTTAAGGCCTCGTTTTGGTAACAAGTTTACCCTATATTTTTGAATTCTAATCAAAATTCTATTCGCTCCAAGAATAATACAGGAAAATAGTGGTGTAAAATAAAAGAAGCCATACTCTACAGCATTTGCCATTAGGATTCTTATTAGGAGTGTCATGTTGAAGAGTAGATGTGCTTCCCAGGCTTGTTTGCCGTGGTTCAGGAGGAATGAAAGGGTTGATGTAAAAATATTTTGGCGTTTGAGAAGGAGTGGAACGAAACATTCGTGTCGACAGTTAAATGTGCAAAGAGAATAAAAACTGTATTTAAAAAATTGGAAAAATAAAAAAGAAACATCATAAGAGAAGAGAAAAACATTCCTCGTTTCTAAACCGTCAACTCAGCTTTAATATATTTTTTGAATTTTTCATTTTTTTCAAACATAAACAGAGTTGCACTGATGTTTGTCAAAGAATTGCATTTAATGCGACTATTTTTTCTAGTATTTTTTTTTTGTTTCAATAATTCGTATTGTTCCTTGTTCGTTATATTTTCTTTCGGTTTCTTTTTATCTAATTTTGATTCTTTTTTCATTCATATTTATGTTTCTAATTTCTCAATTTTATTTTTTCTTTCTTTTTAATTCGTTGTTTTCTTATCTGTATTTTTGGTATTTTTTTTTCCCTTAACCATAAGTTATTTTTCTTCTAGAATTTCTTTCTGCTTTGACGTTTTCCTGGTCTTTTTCCTTCAAGACATTTAATTAATGATACTTTATTTCTTTCATTTTTTTCCTTCTTCACTTCATTTTCTTCCAATGATCAAAATTCTTTCCTTCTTTTTCTTTCTTTCTTTCTTTCTTTCTTTCTTTCTTTCTTTCTTTCTTTCTTTCTTTCTTTCTTCACTTTTTATTTGTTTCCGATAATTTTCTTTCTTTCTTTCTTTCTTTCTTTCTTTCTTTCTTTCTTTCTTTCTTCATTTTTTAATTTGCTTCCGATCATTTTCTTTCTTTCTTTCTTCACTTTTTATTTCTTTCCGATCATTTTCTTTCTTTCTTTCTTTCTTTCTTTCTTTCTTTCTTTCTTTCTTTCTTTCTTTCAAGTGCGCATTTATAATTTTTCGTCGTTTTTCTCTTTTTACTTTGCAATCATCTTAAATTCCTCTTCCGTAATATTTCTTTCTCCACTTTTTCGATTATTATTATTATTATTATTATTAATATTATTATTATTATTATTATTATTATTATTATTATCTCGCCACTCTTTCTGTCCCTCTTTTGACTTGATTCAATTTTCAAAAAAAATATTTATTTTCTCGTTTTACTCTTTCTCAGTAATTCAATATTTTCAAAGATACAATTTTTGATATTTTCTACCCTATTTTTTATTTGTCTTTTTCTTTCTCTCTCTCTCTCTCTCTCTCTATCTCTCTCTCTCTCTCACACACACACTCTTGTTCCTTATTTCCTTCACTTTCTTTTATCGAATCATTTCCGCTTTTTTTTTTAATTATTTCGATTGTTTTATTTCTTCCCAGTTCCTTTTTCGTCATTGTTTTTTCCATTCGGGTCCTTGCCTTCTAACTCGTTTATTGTTTCTGTATATTCTTAGAATCTGATTATTTTCTCTGTATATTCTTGAAATCTTTGGTTCCGTCCTTTTGGCTTCATTTTATTTCCTCTTCCTTCATTAATTCTTTTTCTAAGTTTATTTGTTCATTTCTTCCCTGATTTCTTTTATTTTTCATTACCATTTTTATTCGTTTCATTCTATCGATCGAAATACCCGTGTGATTCTAAATCAGCACTTCCCGTGAATTATAGTGTCGTTCTCAAACATTATTGGCAAAGTCAGCTTATCCGCCATATTGATTTAATTCTGACGAAAAAATCCTATTTCTGGCAAGATTTATATTTGTTCTGCTTCTCTTAGAGCAAAAAGTAAGGCTTTTTGTTTCGGCAGTGAATACATCTACAAGAAAATGGCCAATTCTGTGATATTTTTTTTTTCATTTTTTTTTTTTTTCTAAATAAAATGTTTACTTTCAATTCCAGAAATTAAACATTGCGATTCCATCTCTTTTGGCATTTTTTAAACATGTGATAAAATAATAAAAAAAACAATAACAAAAACACAACACATAAGTTATTGACCGCTGCCTGACTACTTCCATATTTTATATATGTGAACGAATTTATTGTATTAACACTTTTGCTCTTGAACTATATACGATACCAAATGTTACACAAATGCGAGGTTTAAAGTGGGTTTACCAGCAATACCATGCAAGAGTTGCTCAAGATTCCCTGGTACTTCTCTCTTTGGGTACGCTTCGCCAGCCGGGTAATGATCTCAGTACCCTCCCGAAAGAGACCTACTGCTTGTGGATAGGGCACACTGGGGCTTGAATTATTATTATTTTGAAACTTTCTCAGCAAAAGCTAGAGGAAAAAATGAAAACGACTTTGTTAATTACCACATAGAAATCATCGACTGTAATAAACTTTACGATATTGTGCTGTTAGCAGAATCACCAAAAACTATTGATTGATTGATTAATTTTTTAGGGCATTTTCAAGTTATTTAGTCAGAAAATATTTTTAGATTGTAAGAATTTTGATTTTAGACGATAATTAGTTTACTAATTAATCCAGGGCTAGAGGAAGAAGGGTAATTGCGTCGAAATGAATATAAAGAACACAACGGGAATTGAAACCCGGCTCTACGATTAACAATTTTGAGCCATTATCCATTTCATCCCCCGCACATCAAAGCTTACACCGCCTGCTATTACTATCTAGGCATTGACCAGGCTTGACGTTGCTTAACTTCGGTGATCGTACGGGAAGAGGTGTTTCAACAAGATGTGAGAGTAAGCCTCGAAATCTATAATCGAAATACTACAAGCAGATTCCTAAAAGAAGACGAAATGTGGGAGTGGGGTATAAAGGAATCTGCATATTCATTTTTTATTCCACAGAACTCTGCGTGATAAAAGTTCAGACATTTTTGTTTTATTTTGTTTCTTGCTTTATTTTTTTTTTACTTCTCCCAATATCTTATACAATGGGATAATGCTATCCTCACATATGATCCGATTTATCGGAAATATGGAAAACGGAATTCAAACCACAGGTGAAGAAAAAAAAAGCGCTGTTGAAACGGGGAAAGTAATGTGTAACTTCCAAGGTTCTTTCCTTTGTTCTTGACATAATAAAACCTCTCCCTTTATCTCTTGATTTTTCTCTTCTTGTGCCTTTTTGTATATAGCAATATAAAACAACGACACCCGATACCTTCCATATCGAGAAAATAATTCATTGAAATTTATCCCTTTCTATCGAAGATAACGCAAAAAAAGAACAAATGTCAGTTATAATTAAGGATAGAGTCTGAACAATTAGCTGCACATCTATAAGGTTCCTCAAATTTTAGGCCTGTGCTACGGACAATTGAATGTGGTGTAAAAGCAACTTGTTAGATCATTTATACATCAACAATGAGATTGAACCTCACTGGGTGACCCATACATTAGTCATTGTGCCCCATGTAATCTACGCTTAGAAATTAATTTGGGGGCACTTGGACGTGGTGAAATGGTTAACAAACTTGTCTCGTTAGATCTATTAAAATGAAGGTTGAGTTCGAAACTCACTAGATGCCCCATACATTCGAAATCGTGCCACATCTCAGCTACGCTTAGAAAATTAGCATAGGGATAATTCGATGTATTGTAATGATTAACAAGATAGTCTTACTAGTCTAATTCCGATTTCCATGCTCGCTGGAGGCTCCATACCTTCGGCCTTGTGCCATATAATAAAGTTATATTGTATAAATCTTACTAAATCTCCATTTGGTCTCTTCAGCGTGATGTAATGGTTAGCAGGATTGTCTCACTAGATTAATTACGGTTCAGTAATGGGTTCAAAACTCACTGGGTGCTCCATATTCTTGGACCTGTGCCGCGTGTAAGCGAAGCGTACTAAATCGCTATTTGGGTACTTCGACGTGGTACAGTGATTAACAGGCTTGTCTCACTAGATCAGTAATAATTAGATAATGAATTTAATCCACACTAGGGAACTCCATATTATTATCCACATAATATTGTTATAGTGTATAAATCTTACTAACACGCTATTTGGTCTCTTTTGGGCTTGAGCCACGTCTAACTTACTGTTATAACGGAACATACCTATTCTATTGTTAATAGACTCTCCCACAGATAATAAGTAGTAGTACTAGTAGCAGTCGCCAGCGGGCTCAGTGGTGTTGGTCTGAGTTCAGTCTGAAGTCGGACGACCAGCTAACCGGTTGAACTCTCTGCCTTTGGGCGAGGAGGAACCCGAACGAGGCTACGCCGAACGGCGGAGTCTCTTTCGGGGGAGGTAAACCGACACTGAACCCGTTTATACGGGTTCAATGGGCATATTTTTTAGGCTCGGATATCCCACATTAAATAACCGGCCTTGTGCCACATTCTGCCCCAGTGTGGGGGGGGTGACTGAATATCCTCAGTGAGTTGGTGAGACAGTCGATGTCGGACATTAAAGCAGCAACCACCACAACTAGATTGCTGCGTCATTAACTATTATTTCAAGTTCCTAACGTTTTGTACGTCGAACCTCTTTTAGGACCGACTTAGTGAAATACAAGCCTTCACTGTGAAAACTACTGTACAACACTTACGCATCGTGAATTGCCATAACATATCACATATAAAAGCTAAGAATATAGCAATTTTGTAGAGTGTATTACCAAATGTTTTGATAGCTTACTCTCGGTGTTCGGTGGCGCTGTGTTTAGCGAGGCTATTTCAATCGATAATTAGATACGTGTTCGTTCCTAATTGCTTAATGACTAGTGATTCATTTTTTTTGAGCAGAAGAGCATTAATATGTTGAGTCATAAATAATTTTCTTTTTATTTTGTTTATCATCTTTGTTCTTCAAACAATACATTACAATTTCAATCATATATTCGTCATTATTTGCAAGGACATGTCACATATCATTGAGACATTTGGAGTGAAATTTTTCAACAAAAATTCTTTCATTGCAGTTTTAATTAGAGACTGATTTCTCCCTCAAAGCACTTTGCATGGATCGATAAAATTAATAATCTGTTGGTGCATGGTCAGGTGAAAATGGCGTGTAGTGTAGACCAAATGAGTTCCATAATTTTCACCTGTGTGATCCTTGATGTATTGGCATAAAGGAGAAACCCTATTCTTACTATTGACAAGGTCAAGGTAGGTTTTTTCCAAAAATTTACGGACCCGTTGCAGCTGCTTAATAATACCATGGCAGTTCCGGCAGACGTAAACATTACCTTTCTTTAATGAAGCTTATATTTATAAGTCTACTATTCGTGCATGATTTGAATATTGTTGCCGCATATGGTTTAGTTCTTCTGTTATATATTTAGTGACCGTTGATAAAATCCAAAGAAGTATGCAATATTATTGATCCTGACCTGGCATCCCGGCTTCAGTCACTTTCTCATCACCGTAATGCAGCCTTTCGTATTAATATTTCCATAGTAATTGTTCTGATGAACTTTCCTCTATGGCGGTTTCATTTTTAAATGTTATTTGTATTTTCCCCACCCAGACAAATTATAAATATGGGAAATAGTTAGGACTTCCTAAAGACTTCGAAGTATTATGGTAACTGTATTAAGAATGGTCAGTAAGAATGTGTTGTCTTGATGTAAGGAATACTGCGGAGTGTTTGGATCAGTAATTATGGTTAGCTAAGTTTAAGATAGGTCAGACTGAAGACAAGTCCTCCCCCATCTCTCCGTATGGCCTTGTGCCACATTTGTGTATTTGCAAAATAAATATTCTTCTATGGCGCCTAGACGCTATGGATTTTAACTCAGTACTAGTTTAGCATTTAGGTCTCATCATTCTACAGTTGAAATGGTTAGGTGTATCTTTAACTTCTCTCCTATTATCTTCTTTTCTCGCAATTCCAGCTAGTGGAACACCTTTCTGGTGTCTTGCTTTCCAGTCAAGTTTGATCTTCAAACGTTTAAATGTAATATCAATCATTATCTTCCTAATTCTTTCTTCTTCTAGCGTTCTATCTCCTTAATGATTTTTCTCTTTTTCTTATATTGTTTCATACTCATTAATCTCCCATCGTCTTAGGGGCTTCATTGCCTTACTTGGGCGAAATGATTAAAAAGAGTCGTAGAGATTTATCATTGTCAGTTCGCTGCCTTTTGCGTTGAACATTGTTGTATGCAACCCATTTTTCATCACCTGTTATGACTAATACATTCGTAATTATAATTGGCACACCAAAGTGAAATTATTTATCACTGATCTTAATATATAGAAACCTATAATGAATAATTTATTGTATTTTTCGAAACTTATAATTAATACGGGGTTTTATTTTATATGTTTTGATTAATGCCGGATTTTATGGTGGTCATTATTTGCATCAAATCATCGAACTTTGGATTTCATTTAAAACCAAACAATCTATCCTTATTAT